ACAACAACGCAAAAACAAAGCCCCACAAGAAACACCAAAAAACAAACAAAAAACAAATCAAAAACAAAAACAAAAGAAAACAAAAACAACTAACCTGTAATCAGCCGAGGCCAGGCAGTGGCCCAGGAAGGTGCAGTCAGGCGCACTGCACGTGTTGTTCCTGATGGTCTGGGTCTTGGGGATGACGGTGTACGTGATGTTGAAGCCGTGAGCCTCCATCAGGTGCTCCTCTACACGGAGGTGAATGTTGGAGAAGTCAACCACCGCCAGGTCCAGCGCTACGTACTCACTGGGGACAGAGAGTTTTGATTCATGATTCAAAAGTCAGTTTTATTTTAGTAAAAGTTTTACGGCGCTCGCAACTGCGTAAGGTCATATGAGCACCAGAAGATTAGAGGTGTTACAAGAGAGTAACACACACAAAAAAGTTTTATTTTAGTAAAAGTTTTAAGGCGCTCGCAACTGCATACGGTCATATGAGCACCAGAAAATTAGAGGTGTTACAAGAGAGTAAGAAACACAAAAAAGAAAGAGAGGAGATAAGGACGATAGATATTTGATAGGAAAGAAGAAGCAAACCACACCAGAGCACACGTTAACCACCTACATTCAAATATCAGCTGAAATCGTTTCTGTTTTTAAATTTATAAGATGAATATTTGGAGTGATTTTTCTTTTAGTCAGAATATAACGTTTTATGTTACTGTTGTACGGTACGTTGTTCTGTATTGTAAAGCGCTCAGAGCCTGTGTACTTTAATCGGGGTTGAGCACTATATACATATTATTAATTATTATTAGATATAATATCAGCCTTGGTAATTGTGTGGTTTTGTTTGTCTGAGTGAAGAGAAGCACATCGACACAGTAATGGATATTTAGTGCTGAGAAAAAGTTAGTCAGACGGACAGAAACAACAGAAGGAAAGTAAAGACGACGGGCCTACTAGTCGTGCCCTCCAACCACCAGCGTTAAGGTGACAATCCATATGTGCGGGACGGCATAAAGGTGACAATCCATATGTGCGGGACGGCAGCGGCAGCGGCACGGCAGCGGGACGATAAAAATCGCTCCAACAGAAATATCAATGTCTGAATCCAAAAGTGCGGGACGGCAGCGGGACGGAAGCGGT